GCGCTGGCTCTAATCCAGCACCAGGGACTGGCTGGCTCGGGGGGCAGCGAATGGGGCACGGGGCCTTTCCCCTCTAGGGAGTGCTGGCTCTGATCCAGCGCCAGGGACTGGCTGGCTCGGGGGGCGGGAATGGGGCACGGGGCCTTTCCCCTCTAGGGAGTGCTGGCTCTGATCCAGCGCCAGGGACTGGCTGGCTCAGGGGGCAGGACATGGGGCACAGGGCCTTTCCCCTCTAGGGGGCGCTGGCTCCCATCCGGCCCCAGGGCGGGGGACTGGCTGGCTCAGGGGGGCAGGGAATGGGGGGTGGCCTCTCCAGCTAATCCGCCAATCTCTCCACAGCGTTGGCCAGTGGTGGAACCCTGCCCATTACCAGTCTTGACGCCAGCGGTAACTTGGTCCTGGGCACTACGGCCAGCACCCCGGGGAGCCAGAGCATTGTCACCTCGCCGCTCTTCCTGAACCACGCGGGGCTGCCCCTGCTGAGTGCCACCCCGGGGGGGGTGGGGCTGGTCTCGGCCGCCGTGGCCGCCTCCCTGTCCAGCAAATCCCCCAGCCTCACCTCCTCCTCCTCCTCCTCCTCCACCTGCTCCTCTTGCAGCTCCTCCAGCGAGGCGGCTGGGCCGCCCCCGGGCCACGCCAGGCCGGCAGCCTCCGAGCCGGACGGCAAGACGGAGTGAGGGGCGGCAGGGCGCTGCCCGCCGGTGCCGCGGAAGGAGGGAAGGCGGCAAGAGACGAGTGAAAGCAAAACAAAACTGTCAGCAGCAGCCAAATGAAGAAATCAACCAAAAATAACCCAAAGCAGCCGAACCAAGGGACGAGAGCCGGAGAAACCAAAACCGAATTCCCCCGGCACTGGCGATTCGTGGCCGTGCTTTGAATTTCTTATTCCCTCCGACACACGCCCAAGAAACAGTCCTGGCCGCAGTCTGTCGTGGGATCTGCTGCTTTCCCCAGCACCCCAGCTCCTGGGGTCACGACGCTGGAGCAGAATTGGAGCTTTCCTCGAGGAAGCGAGGGGAAAAAATCAGATCTCCAGCTCTGATGGGCCTGGAGAAAATCTTGCGGCTCGTGACGCTGAAGGCGCCGAAAGCAGAAGGCAAAGAACCCAGATTGGATTGCGGTGTTTTGTTTTGTTTCATTTGAGATCTCGTGTTTTCAATGGCAATCTCGCCTTTTATTTACCGTTTGTTGAAAGCCGGGGGCTGGCCAGACGGGTGACTCAAGTCACTCTTCGGCCAGCGGAGTTGGTTTTTGGAATTCCTTTTATTTGATTTTTCTCTGAGTGTTTCTTGGACATTTTTTGGGGGGAAACATAAGAAAAAATAGGTGGGTTTTTTTGATTGCACAGGAAGAAGAAATAGGGGAAATAATATGAAAAAAAAAAAATCTCACACCAAAAAACCCCAACCCATGACCAGTCCTAGCTTCACCCAAAGGCTTTTTACAAACTTTTCTAACCTCTGTGTCCGGTCGAATGTCTTTTGAAACCTTTTATTTATTATTAATTGATTTTTATTTGCCATCTAGGAAGGGGGCTAGCGGGGGACGGGTGGGAGACTCTTTTCATGTCAGAGTCACGCTCTTAACAAACTCGCCTTTGCTTTCGATTTGATGAATCTCTATTTTTTCAATTTGCTTTTATTTTTGTAAAGAACTAACCCGGTGGGAGGGTGGCTTTTCCGTAGCGCTCGGGAGGACGTTTCCGAAGGGGTTTTCGGATCTGCCGGGTCTGCATGGGGACGCTGTGCTTCAGTTTAACCGCCCCGGCCCGGTCTGCACGACCTACCCGCGGGGTTCTGCTTTTCCAAGTCAGACAGGGAGCTGCAGGCTGGTGAAAACACCTGGTAGTGAGAGACTTCAGGAGCTTCTCAGAAAGGAACCGGGGAGGTGACGTGATCACAGCATCTAAGTACTTTCATGGGGAGAAAATCTTTAACCTAGCGGAGAAAGGCAGAGCAAGAACCAAATTAAAGCCGGACAAATTCCAGTAAGGCCCAATGATTAGCAGTGCGAGGGACTAACCATCGGGGCGCACGCCCCTGGGTGGTGGTGGCTACGCCATGGTGGATCCAGCCTGCGTGCCTTTCCGAGAGATCTGTAACCAACCTCCAGTCGGGCAGCTGTTGGAGCTGAGGGACTCAACGACCCTGCGTAGCTTAGCAGGAGCCCTAGCGTGACCCCGCCATGTGTCCGCGGTGCACTTCAAGCTGCTCTGAATCTAGCGAAACCCAAATAAGCCTGATTTAGCCTGGAATCGGCGCAGCCGACGGGGCTTTGCAGCCATCTGGCTAAATCGCTTTAAACTCACCCCTCTGCTTAAACCGCTGCACAGTCTTCATGCAACCCCCGGCTCCCGACTTTGTCAAGACCGTGGCGGGTGGGGATGCTTCCATGCTTTGGGTAGATCCGGTGCTGTCAACGGGGCTACTCAGAGTGCTGCAAGCGACTCACCTGCTCAGCTCTTTGCAGGATTGGGACCTCGTCTCTCCGAATAAACCTGAGCCTTTAACCCTCCCAGGGCAGGCAGCAATGAAGCAGAGATTTTTTTTAACAGATGAAACTATTATTTGCTAATTTAATTTTTTCTACCAGTCTTTTTCCATTCCGTTTTTTCAGTTTTCAGTTCAGCGCGGGTATCTCTGGGGTTATTTTTCTGAAGCAGGGGAAGGACATATAATGGTTTATTCTTATTTTTATATCTATGTTCTGAAAAAAAAATCATATTCCAGTGCCTGACAAAAAAAATAGACAAAGAAAAACGGGAATTTCAGCTTTCTTTACATTTTCCAAAAGAAACCAAAAAATCGCTGGATCTATGTACAGAAAAACAACGGCATGAAGACTTTTGCTCTCACCGCAACGACTCGGGATGCGAGAAAAAACTTTGAACCAAAAAAATTCATAACGAAGTGAACCAAGAAAACTCAAATAAAAAACCTTGAATTGAAGAAGAAAGGATTTTAAACAATGGACCTAAAGGGGCATGTCGACTTTTTCTGACTAGACTGATGGCCTAACGCTCTTTCTCTGTCTTGAAAAAAATACCTCATGGACATGGCGTTGAGAAGCCCTGGTTTATGTGACAAAAGGACCAAAAAAACCAGTTCCAAATAAACCAAATTGCCAGAATGGGCTAGGGGCTAACGGAGAGTTCTGAGCGCCCTTCCCCACGGTCGGAAAAGCTTTAAAACGGCTTCTCGAAACGCTGATCTATTGTTTGATTTTTTTAAAACACAAAGACAACTTTTTCTTTGGGTTGTTTCTTTTTTAGTTGGATTAATTTTCGTGCGTGATTGTTTTGTTTTGTTTTTTCAACGCCTGCGAACCAAAGTCTTGCTCCTTTCAGAGAAGGAAGTTAGCCATGAGAAAACGCCATCCGGCAACTAAAGAACAGAATGGAAGTTTTAAAAAAAAACATTGAAAACAAACAAACCTTTCTTTAAAGGAAAAAAAAGAATCTTGACCTCATTTTAGCTCCTGCGTTTAGCTGTGTTCATAGAGTTCAGGTGGGTTTGAGACAACACAAAATGAACATACTGTGAAACTGCTTTACAAAGAAACTGACCGAAACACCTGGGTTTAAACACAGAAAATACCAAAAAACCCCAACAACAACCAAACAAAAAAACCAGACTTGAAACCGCTGTTTTTTCACCCTGTAAGGTGCGTGAGGGAAGGGAGCCAGCCCCCGGAGTTGCAGTTCTCATCTCGATGGGAGAGGAACAGCGTTTGGGGTGGCTGGTCTCTCCCGGACGTGCTGCCTGAACAAGTTTTCTAGGTGGAATGTAACTGTTTTAGTGAACTCTCTTCTTTCTTTCCTTTGGGAATATTTTTGGTTTCAGGGTGGGGGGGAGAGGGAGAGGGAACTCTTCCCTTTTTTTTTATAGAGAGAAATTCTATGTTCTGCTTTATTGCTTCTTACTGTATATATAAAAAATGACAAAAATGAAAAAAACAAAAAAAAAACAAAACAAAAAAACCCAAACGCAAAAAGTTTGAGATGACAAAAAAAAAAAACCCAAAAAACCAAAAATTGTTTTAAAAAAAAAGGATTTTAGACCAAAAATGACCCTATCTCCAGGAGCGGAACAGGGAGTGTTGGGTACTCGGCATTGGCGGGGGGCGACCCCAAAACCTAACGGGGAAGAGGAGTGAAAGAGGGCAAGTGGGCTGACTGTCGTGGGGGGAGCAGGGGGCCATGGGATTTCTACGGTGTCTGTGAGTCTGTCCATGGCTAACCCAAGCCATGGGGTAACCCCTCCACTGGGACTGCATTTCATAGGGGGTCTAGTGGGTTAGAGCAGGGGAGCTGGGAGCCAGGACTCCTGGGTTCTCTCCCCGGTTCTGGAAGGGGAGTGGAGTGGGGTGGGGTGCGTTAGAGCAGGGGGCTGGGAGCCAGGACTCCTAGGTTCTCTCCCTGGCTCTCCCACTATCTCCCTGTGAGATGATGATGGTTCCCATCAGTTCCATAACTGAACCTCTTGCCAGAGATTGTCTGTGTCTGTGATGGGAGGCTCATGAATCCCTATGAAATGCATCCATGGCCCCCCACTTCCCCTGAGCCAGCCCCCCAGCGCCCCTCCCCAGAGAGGGGGTTGAGAATAAGTATCCAAACAAGCTTTAAATTACAGCTGTGAAACCAAATATTTACGTAGACACCTCCGTGCTGGCAACCCAGTCAGGACTGGGGGGGCGGCAGGGAGGGGCTGGGCTGGGGATCCCCTCCTCCCCACGGTGCCGTGAAACCCACCGCAAGGTTCTCTGGAGATAGCCTGCCATATACCTCATCTACTTTAAAGATAAACCAAATAGAAATGCTTTATTAGGGTGTGTGCCGGACGGGGGAGGGGAGCGGCGACCTCTCCCATCGTCCCGCGGAGCCCCCAGGAGCGACCCTCCATTTCCTTTCCTTCGTGGGTTTTCCTTTTTGTTTGGGGGTGGTGGTGCGGGCGCAGGGCTGGAGGAATCTTGACAGGGGAGGGAGGATGCCCTCAAGGCCACCAGTCCATCCCCCAACCTAGGCAGCCCCTGTCCAGACTCAGCCACTTCAGGTTGGGGATCCCAAGTAACACCCCAGGATGACGGTGCTTTGCGGTACCCCCCTCCCCACGTGGATTGGGGGAAGCATCTGCCACCGGTCTGTGAGCCAGGGAGATGCCCATTCCGGACACTATGAGAGGGCAGTGCCAGCATCCGAACCCTTCCCCGCCACCGCCCTCTCACAGTAACTGACCCAGGAGGGGTGGAAAATCGCGATGACGTTGCCAAAGGTAGTCAGTTCCTAGTGTTTAAACATTTTAAGTTTTAATCTTCCAGGGTCTGATCCTGTCTTGTTAATTTATTTGTAACTGTGGGACTTAGAAGTGACTTGAAAAATTAATAATAACAATGTAACAGATATTCTGAGTGACTTTTTTATATTCTGTTCTGTGGGGGGGGGGGGGGTTGTTTTTCCTGTCGTCATTTTTAAAAAAAAGTTTTTAATTAAAAAAAAAAATCTTGCAACCAAAGACGAGTTAAAGGGGATCGGGACCCTGTCAGCAGGTGCGGGGGGAGAAAGGGGATCTGCATTCGTAGTGCCAAAGCCCCCCTCCAGAAATACAACTCTTCCCCCTCAAACTCACTCGCGGTTTCTGTGTGAGGAGGAAAGAAGGGAGGAAAAATTTTTGGCCGCTGT